TTCACAGCGCCCCTCCCTGGTCACACACACTCATCCACGTATCATGTATGTATAAGGATGTAGTGTTTGTATAGGAGTATTTCATTCAGATTTAAAAAAATGCATGTATGCCCATGTGTGAATGTTAGTGTGTATTTCTGCAGTGTCATATGCACACAGTCCCACAGTCAGACACACAGTCAGATGCACACAGTTATACACATATACTGTTAAATACAGCCCCAGGCACATAGCCACTCATTACAGTCTTTAAGTCGCACGCAGACAGCCAAACACAGTCACAAGCAGACAGTAAGAGGCAATCACACACACACACACACATACAGGCAGATAGACATACACAGTCAGTCATACAGTTACAGGCAGTTACACACAGTCAAAGGCAATCAGTCACACACACACAAACAAAGTTACAGGCAGACAGTCACACACACACACACAGTCACAGACAGACAGTCACATGCACACAGTTGCAGACAATCTCACACACACAATTACAGGCAGTTATACACACACACACACACTTACAGGCAGTCATACACCCACACACAGTTACAAGCAGACAGTTCCATACACAGTCAAGGCAGACAGTCTCACACACACACACACACACACACACCATAGTTACAGGCAGACAGCCACACACACTGTCACAGACAGACTGTCATATTATTATTTTATTATTTATATAGCGCCATCAGATTCCGTAGCGCTGTACAATGGGTATCATATGCACACAGTTACAGACAGTAACACACAGTTACAGGCAGCCACACAGTTACAGGCTCCCATGACAAACGCATTTTTGCAGAAATGTTGGGGGCTTATTGGTTGACTCTTGTCCTTCTTCTCACTAGGTCGGGTATGCTTTTCTTTTCTTTGTATGTATAATTATTTTTGGGTTTACAACTAATGTTTTGTTATCTCATACAGCTATTTTTGTAGACTTGTATTCAGTGATTTATGCATTGGGTATTTTGCCCATAGACTATTCCAGAATTTGCAGGTGTTACATTGTATTTCTCATTCAACATTGTATGTCTTTTTTCATTTCTTGATATAGTTAAAGGACCACTAGAGGCCACTATAGGCATCCAGGCCACTTTATAAATAGGTTAATCCAGCCTCTAAAGCCTCTAGTGGCTGTCTCATTGACAGCCGCTAGAGGCGTATGCGTGCTTCTCAATTACAAAATCACAGTGAGAAGACGCAAGCGTCCATAGGAAAGCATTATGAATGCTTTCCTATGAGACTGGCTGAATGCGCGCGCAGCTCCTGCCGCGCATGCGCATTCAGCCGAAGAGGAGGAGAGGAGGCGGAGAGGAGGAGGAGAGCTCCACACCTGGCCCTGGAGAAAGAGGTAGGTTTAACCCCTTCCTCTCCCCAAAGCCCGGCGGGAGGGAGTATGTTTTCCTGGCACTATAGTGGTCCTTTAATGAGATAGCCTGTTACTGTGACCCATTTAATAAATATCTTTTCATATATATTTGTGGTGTGCCCCTTGTTTAAGTAATAGATGTAACTCTTTTGGCCTTTGGGAATATAGCCCTATACGAGTGAGCACCCATGACTGGATTGTTTATTTGGGTTTAGCCCTCTTCTGTTTCTCATCAGCAATTCTGAGTGTGCCTACCTATTTTAATTTTTACTAGCCACACAGTTACAGACAGGCAGACAGTTAAACACACAGTTACAGATACACACACACAGACATGTACCTTTCCCCATTATGCTCTAGAGGAGAAGCAGTGGAAACACTGTAGTTCCTGTCTAGCAGTTGTGAAAGCAGGAACTCCTTCCCCCTCAGTGTGCAGCATAACCGGGCAGTGGGTAGAGGTCACACTTAACTCCGCCCCATGACTGATTTAGCCCCACCCAGGCATATTTAGCTCTACCTCCTTTGTTGATTTAGCCCCGCCTCTTCATCAGTGTGGGAGCTGTGTCACCCAAACAGCTTGCACACCCCTAAGGCCGGCTCTGTGTACACCTAAAAAAAATGCCTTCAATGGGAACATGTGCATCAGCATTGGATCACGGAGTAATGTGAGAAGGTTGCCTGGTCTGATGAATCATATTTGCTTTTATATCAGGTGGATGGCTGTGTGCGTCATTTACTTGGGGAAGAGAAAGCAGCACGATGCACTATGAGAAGAAAGAATGCTGGCGGAGACAGTGTTATGCTCTGGGCAATTTTCTGCTGGGAAATCTTGGATCCTTGCATTCACTTGGATGTTACTTTGACATATACCACCTACCTAGAGAGTGTTGCAGACCATGTAACCCCTTCATGGCAATGGTTGCAGCTTCTTTCAGCAGGATAATGCATCCAGGTACACTGAAAACATTGTTCAGGAATGGTTTGAGGAACATGACAAAGAGTTCAATGTTTTGCCTTGACCGCCTTAATTATGGTACAAGAGACAAAATAAAGAAACGTTTCAGCCGTGAGGCCTTAATCATGTCTTTCTGACGGCCACTAGAGGCAATTCTGCCTCCGTAACTGAATAAAACTCAGTTTTTCAATCAAATTGGAGGAGCACAGCATTTTGCTGTGCGAGCTTTTGCCAATCCAGAGCTTTTCTTGTTTTTTGTTTTTTAAATTCTTTATTTTCGTGCATGGCAGAGTATTAACATGTAGAAACACATAATATTTGGTACATGTATAAATATGCATCATGAAGCAAAGGGGGGGGTACAATACAACGAAACGTTTGTTTACATTAAATGATATTCCACGTCACGCGCTACCCCTGTTGATTATACACGTCTGCTTCAAGCTTATCAATTGCCTGCAAGGTTTTTTTACTTCATACAAGGAGTAGTAACAAAGAAAGAGAAATGAACCAGTTTGGATCAGAAAAGCACGATCCGGATATCTGCTGGTAGTTAGCCCCTCTCTCGTGAGAGCCGAGCAGTATCGGTCATCACCGCAATCCAGAGCTTTTCTATTAGCCCTTTTATTGCTATTTCTATAGGATGTTTGACCTCTGTGAAAGGTTTTCTATCATTCATAGTGAGCATATGCAAGTATGTTCATAAGATGGTTGACATATATACACACAAATATATCACTACACGATATAACTTCAAAGTACAGGATGGCAAGGACCACAGAGGTCAGTTCAAGTCCATACCAAGGATATCAAGTCTATGGGCAAGTCTCCAAGCCTCTCCTCCTGCTACAGAGTCATACCCTCGTAGGTGAGTAACAATGATGGAATGGAAGGGCTATCTCTGGAACCCTGACACATGACAATAGTAGAATTCAGGGAGGGGACATTCCATTACAGTTACTGACAGTTTGAAAACTCTGGATGAAATTACAAGATGACCATCTCCTCAAAAACTATTTTCAATCTCAATAAAGCTAAAATGACTTTAGCTTGGTGAGATGAAAACTACATTAATCTGTTGGCAATGTATGTTTCTTAAACTGTCTTGTTGAAAGAAAATAGTGATATTGCAACTTTAATATTTCTTAGAAAACCTTCTCTGCTGTGGAACATCAACATGGGTTAGATCTTTGCAGCAGAGCTGTGAATACCTATAGAACCTTTCTATAATCACAGAGTCTGAGTGTGGTGTGGTCTTTAACCTCAGAATTTTAGCTTCATTCTCAGTTTTTGAAAAACAGTGTTTCATCTACTCATTGAACAAAAGAGGGCTTTCACTATTGTATTTATAGAAAATTAATTAATAAATGTACTGCTGTAGAGCATGGTGCTACATTTATACACAGCAAATGATTTAAGCATAGGGAAAAAAAAGAATAAAAGAAAGAAAGAAAGATGTCTGGATCACAAAGAGGCTCTGTACTTCCAATACGAGGATATTTGGGAGGTATTACTTTATCAGAATTCATAATAACCCATATATCAAAATATGTCATCACAGCATACAACATACTTGACCATATCAAAATAATCCTATTGAAATGCACTACACTAATCAACGATATTGGGGTCAGAATCGCAAGTTTGCTCTACAAACTTGAAAGAAAATTGTGAACTCAAATTGGACTTCAAATCAAGAAGGATCTAATAAAATACAACCATTAAACATTTCTGCTTAATATATATTACTTATCTATTTTTAAAATCCCACTTCTGCCTTTTTCTGCATTTTCTACAACAGTAACCAGAGCTACTTGATTAGCTAATTTTTGAGAAACATTTCTTACATACATTGGCGAAGTGCATTGTAATATTGACTTTAATAAGCCAACTGCTTTCTTATTTGTGTAAAATTGGAGGATCATGACTGCCTGGGAGCGCTGCTTCAACATATGTTGTTAAAGTAATTTATTTTTATTGAAATGTACTAAAGATTGGAAAGACAGAATGAACTCAGAGGCGATTATTCCCATTATAGTATGATATGACACTAAGTAAGACTAAGTGCATGCTCACTGTGCACTGTGGGTCTTTGTACACCAATTATATTGTGCTCTTGATATATCGGTATTTATGGGAATTGAAAAAAGTTACTAAGAATAATAATCATAGCAGTAACTTTAGTCCTTCTTTTAGATAGTTAATATTTAATAAAGATGATGCCCAATTTACAGGACTTACTAAAGGAAAAAAAAAACACTATCTGATCAAAAAATAATAATGAATCACACATTCTATACTAGCAAATCAATATCATATTTAGACCTGTCAACACAACTCCAATATAGTTTCTACCTGTACTAATGAAAAATAGCATTTGGAATATACAGTTATTAAATGTGATGGTTGCTAACTGTGCAACAGATAAACTGGCCAATAATATAAAAACTAATAAATGATAGTGATGCAGAACATGTACACAATGATTTGAGATAATCTAAAAACCTAACTGAATTCCAGAACTTGAACTAAAGCTCATGAAAGATGAATAGCATCTCACTGAGCTTCAGCTAAGCATTTGTTAATTATGGCTACACAGCCATCTACAGACAATGGAACCAAGCACTATAATGATTAGAGGTGAGGTATTATCTGTCGGCAGTACTTCACAGACAAATAAGGTATTCTAGTGGTTGTGGGTTATTTCAGATTCCACAAGAACACTACCTGCTTGACTGCAAATTGCCAACTGTAAATTCCTTTGAAGAGTAATAATGGTCTATTTTTTCTAGGCCCATTAATTCAAGGGAGTTACATCTTAATGTTACCATATACAATGACATTCTACTTGATTGTGTGATTCCAAATTTGTAATAAGGAGTTTAAGACAAGGCTTTTTTGTTGTAGTATGACTATGTCTTTGTACACAAAGCATATTTCAGAAATGTTTTTTTCAGATTAGGTGGAAGAATAAGACAGGTAGGTACAGAATCCAGATATCAACCATATTGTGCACTTTTAGAATGAGTTAAATTGCTTACTGCAAGCCAGGTTCATTTGTTCAACATCAATGCAAAATCAACCTCACTAATATTGTTCTGGATAAATGCATGCATATCCCTTAAGTAATGTAAGAAAAATCAGATGGAAAATTGTGCCATAGGAGTGAAGTTCAATATTACTGCAAAGGAGTTGACTCATAGTAATACTCATGATTTTATGTGTGGGTTTTTAGTACTTTGGCCATATATTTTGGCCAGGAGATCAAAAAAAAATAATAATAAAGAAAATACAAAGATATACTAATTTTATGTAAATGTTGTTGTTGTTTATTAAAGTATTGTACATTTAATACTTGGTTTGGTCTAAGTGTGCTACAGAGAGGTAGAGATTTAAATCACGCTGACAACAGTAAAGAACAATATTTATTCACTTTATGTAGCTTATTACAAGTAAAGTATAACACTATTCAAGGCCGGCTTTCTGGGTAATTCTCAGAAGCTGGCCTACACTGTATAACCGAAGTGGAGATAATACCGCTCCTGGTAACAGTCATTGAGCTTGTCGGATAGCTGAAAACAATGTTATAAAGTTACTACCATGGATTTCCATTGACCTTGATTTAATATTGTTGGATAAGCTTTCCAAATTATTTAATATTTTTTGACAAAATGTGAAAATTACATTTTTAACATATTACAATACCAAAAGAATATCATATATAAGGCGAGCATGGTTGACCGCCATGCTGCACAGTTGCAGCAAGTGTGTGCTTCTCAGCAAGCTTAACATTCTAAAGTGTTATTTTATTTAGAATATCGATATAAGCTGCTCTAAACCAGAGTCTGTTGCTCATCGGGCAACCAAGTTGCACGTTCAAGTTCCTCTCAAAGCTGTAGCCTAGGAAATCTTCAAATATTTGCAGCCTGGGGCCTGTGTGTTCTCTAGCGGGGAGAAACAACTGATCACTCCGACTGGAACAGCCACAACTTTGTTGACACTTTCATGGGCCCTGCACTCTCCCCCCTCTGGACCGGTGGGGTTATCCCGGTCCCCACCTTTTTTTTACAATGTCAACCACAAAAACATTCAAAACATTTTGTTGAAACATTGGCCATTCCTCCATCAGGATGCAATATTGGGTCAGTTTATACCTGAATATCCACCTATAATTATTCAATAAGAATAACAATTTTAAAAAGTGTTCTTGCCCCCGACTATTACTATAAAGAAAAAATTGTGATAAACCACAAAATAAGTGGAATATGAGCTTCAGGGGTACTAAAGAGTGTGGTAAAAGGAACACTAAATTCCTAAGTAACATGACAGGGGAGGAATTTTTCAGTAGATCTGGTACTGATTGTCGCATGAACTATGTTGTTTATTTATTGCAGTGTCCGTACGGCAGTCAATATGTTGGTAAAACGAAAAGAGTTTGCACCCTGGAACATCTAAATAATATTAGAAAGAAATTAACTACACACTTAATTCCAGTCCATTGTAACGCATTCCCCAAATTCAATAGTAAGGATCTTAATTTCATAGGGATAGATCGTATTGAAATGTATTGGACAGGAGGAGATAGGGATAAAAAAAATTGGCCCAGGGGGAGACATATTGGGTCCAAAGGTTGGGAACCCTAGAACCTATGGGTCTTAACGGAGATATGGATATAATGTGTTTTCTGTAAAATGCAGTTGACATATCACATTAAATTATAAGTGAAGGGAACATAATATTGCACATATTATACTGTATAATTGAAAAGAGAAAATAAATATTTAATTTTTTCACCAAAATATAGAAAGATTAGAGAATTAAATATATGACATAATTGCACTCTACATTTGTGTGATGAGACACAAATACAAAATATGATACGGTTATTCAATAGCATTATAGCATCAGCATTATAAGATACATAGCTATGTAATAAAAACGTTTAAGAATATGGCATTTGTGTTTTGAGTCAACTTCATAATGATGAACTTTATTTCACTGTGTTTTTTTTTAAATGCTATCTGGGATTTATGAGTTGAATCAAAAGTAAATATTGTCATTCTATAATATATTGATTTATGGGTTATATTAATATCACTGAAGAATTTATTTATATCTAAGCATTTTTAGGTGTGATTGATATAGCATGTAAACTGCATATGTTATAGAGCCAAAATGATTATGCACTATTTTTTTCTCTCCTTTGAATAAAATCATGAGTTTGGAGGGAAGTAGAATGCATAACTTGGGAGAAAGGAGCACATATTAGTCGGCAGAGTAAGTAAAGAGCAAAGTGGAATGCATATTGCGGCTGCCATGCTGGATCGGCAGTGGAACACAAAATGGCGGCCACATGCAAGCGTAATTTCCAGTGGACGAGAGAGATTGCGCTGAAAATGACATTACAAAATGATGAATGCGGACTTCAGCTGGGGATAGGAAACCTGGGAAAGAAGACTTGAAGACAGCTGGGTATCAGGATCCACCCATGGAACCACAAATTAACTTGAGACTAGTCCTATAAATTGCTGGACTCTGGGAAGGGTAGGACTGCTAGTTTGGTTTTATATTGTGCTTTTATTTGTTTATTATCATTTTTATTTACTTTGGTCCCTGAGGAAGTCCTATGTTGAGCGAAACACATAGGACCTTTTTTGTGTTTTTTATTTTGTATGTTTTTTTTATCTATATTGATTTATTTGGAAAATAAAGTGATGCCTTTAATACCTTCCCTGAGTCCTGAAAATGGACTACCAAAGGAAGCAGGAGCAGGAGGAGATCTTTGGATCAGCCCCCCAGATATCCAAGGGGAGGCACCCTGAGAAGCTATAACAATCATCAATTCTGTGAGTGTATTTCCAGCTGTGCAGTATCTTAACTTATTTTAATTGTATTACACTATGCAATTATCTTTTTGTAGATCAACAGCTGTATATAAATAATTTGAATAGGCTGAATCAGCAAAGACGCATAACTAAGCAGAGCTATCTGGCCATGGTTCTGCACTAATATCCTACTAAAGAGTTAATTTTTTATTAATTTCTACACTATTATTCCTTATATCTTTGTTTTTGCAGATGGACAATCCACGATATGTATTTATAGCCCAGAACACTATCTACTTGGTGGGTCTCTCGCTCTTTACCTATCTTAATAGCTTTAATTTAAAATGAGGAGTAATAACTTGATGTGATGAGACCAATCTCGCCACTGTGCATTGGAGGAGCATGGTTGCCCGCCTGCTGCCTTTAGACTATGGCCCCATGTTGAAACACTTGATTTTCCCCTGCAGAGACACGAAAGCCGGGTCATTCGGTGCTGGCCCTGTTTGAGCGGTGATACCCCAGATAGCTATGCCATGGAGCCCATTCGTATAATGAAAGACTATGGGAAAGATTTTGGCTCCATGGCAATTGAACTGTATGTGTGTGCTCTGGGCGCCATTCAGAATAATGTGCGCTCAGATCTGAGCTGTCTGGGGATATGTTGAATGTACCTGTTTTGTGCAATGGCTGCATAGTTATATGTGTTTTATTGTCTTTTGCTGCCATGTGTTCAATGGAGTTTTGCCTCTGTCCTTGGAGATAATTGGATTACTTCCCAATTATCTCCAGGATAGAAGACTCTGTGGAACTGGTTTTGGGCAGCAAAGCCATGCTTCCTTTGGTCACAAAGGACTACGATCTATCTTTTGAACCACTCGACCAATTTGGATGATTTTGACATATGTTTGTATTTGGAGTATGCTGATGTAAGTTTTATGTGAATGTGATGCATACTTTTCAAGTTATGAATAATGTGGAAAAATTGTATTTCTCTGCTTGTGATAATTACATTACCCATTGTGTAAGGTAATTGTATCACAGGCAGAGGGGAGGATTTTGTGTGGGAGTGTCTGAGTGTATTGTATGTGTTTATTGGTTGTGTTCCAAAACCCTGTGGGTGGTACTAAGGTGTATATAAGAACAATAAATCCACAGCTCTGTCTGTTCACTGCTTGACCCTCAACACGGAGCTTTGTCTCGTTCTTGGGGGGATTTACTGTATGCTGTTAGAGACTGATTGCCAGGAGTGTAAGCCGCTTGGGTGCTTTTCGTGTTCAGCTGCTAGCAGCTATTCGTGAGGCTCCAGTATCAGTGCTACTTGGTATCTTGTTCGGGAGTTTGGGGTTCTGCAGTAGCTGTGCCTGTGGATCTGAAAGGGGAATATCGCCTAAACGGTTTTTAACCTCTTGTGGGCAAAACGGTCCGTTACACTTGATGTATGTCAGAGAACATCTCATTCACCTGCATCATATGCTGCCATATGGTATTTTTCTGCATTATCCTTGTGCGGTTCGTAAATATATAACAACCAATATATTGATGTCCTGCAATAGCTTTGTTTTCCCTTTACAATTTGTCATATCAATACATCAGTAAAAAATGTGCTGAATAAAAAAATATATACCATATATAAACTAATGTTATATTATCAGTAAAAAAATTTTTTTAATAGTTTTCATAATATTGAATCATTTGGAAAATATACAAAAATATTGAATAATTAAAATCAAGCACTGTATTTATTGCCTGTCATTCACACATATATGCATATCATTACCTTTACTTCTACTTTACATATCCATACTATCCTTACCTTTTGTGTCACTTTACCCCACTCCCTCTAGCATGTAAGCTCATTGAGCAGGGCCCTCAACCCCTCTTTTCCTGTGTGTCCAACTTGTCTGGTTACAACTAAATATTTATTCGTCTACCCACTGTAAAGCTCTGCGGAATTTGTTGACGCTATATAAATAATAACACAATAATATATATAACATACAAGATCCCGCGCATTCGCTTATTCACTAAACAGCAATTTTAAGTTTTACAGAATGTAATAGATATATTTAAAAACACCTAATCTAGACAAAAATTTCATACACACACAGACACACAGACATGCATATATATATATATA